CACTAATTTCTTTAAAAGGGGAAAATTTATGAAAAAAATAAAACATAAAAAAAGAGAACACCATAAAGCGAAAAGAAAAAAAAGCAAAAATCAAACATCTATATTCCTCATGATTAGTGATTGTACTTATAACTTTAAAATTAACGCATATATAACTATTATTCGATAATCAATTAAAAATTTAAAATGACATTAGTATAATTTAAAATATTATAATCAGAACCTTAGAAGTATCATATGCATTAAACTATTATAATGTCATTTTAAATATAAATACATCATGATTAATTTCCTATATATAACTATTATTTGATAATCGATTAAAAAATTAAAATGACATTAGTATAATTTAAAAATAATAATTTATTATTATTATTTCTTTTCAACTCAAAACAGATCATATGCATTTAGGGGCAAACACGTTATTTTTGGACTTGAAAAAGGATGGATATGTAAACACGAAGAAGAATGGACGAACGAAAGTATAGAACAAAAGCCAGACGTCACCCATCGATATACCCATCGAATAACTTACTGCGGGGTCCACTGCTATCCCGAGGTACGTGAGACGGTAACAAAAGACTGGTACAGGGAAGAATTTTTTCTTTTGTTGGAGCGTTCCGCACCCATTCCACCTCGATCAAAATATTCTGGATGGCGTTTGTGTTCTCTTTCCATTTCTTTTCTCCCGCTCCGATTGGGAATTAAGATCTCCATGGACGCAGAAGAAGCAAAGGTATTCTTTCCCTCCCGTCTCTTTCCCCTATCTCGGTTCGAGTCTCCATCTATTGTCACTCGTGCTTGTTGTGTGTGCGATGCCTTTACCCCGCGCATCAGTCCTAGGGTTTGCTGTTGCTGGGAATGATGCGGACGATTGCTTCAGTTGTCACGATATCTATGGGTATTTTCTCAGTAAACTCACGAAGTTAAGCGATCGATTATGTTAAAGAAAGCATGGATGAGCTGATACTTGAGTAATTTGCATTCGTTGTATGTAACTAGTACGAGGATGAATCTTGATCTGCATTGCGTATAACAGTTTATAGGTGTAGATAACTAACGTGACAAGAGATTATTGTGTTTGTGCTTTATCTAACCAGAGAAGGCGTTGCTGAGCCTTCTCTGTGTGTAGTTAAGGTGGTGGAACTGACTTTTGGGAGTTTGATTTTGTTTTCCTCCTTGGATTTACGTCTAAAGAATTTTCCGTGTTATGGATTAATATCTGATATGTTGACATGTTGGTGTGACTGTATATGGCTCCAATCTTATTTAATCCACACAATTCGTGTCAAATGTTTTCAGGCTAAGCTCTTAGCTGTGCAGAAGGAACTTGGTCATGAAATTCGCGTTTTCACTAACACAACAGCCTCTGAAAAACCGGACGATGTTTCTGCTTCGGCTACAGGTTTTTATCTTTGAATTATATCATATACGACCATCCTCTTTGTTCCTGTTTATTCTTTTTTCACATGTTGTTATATTCTAATATGGAAAGAACCTAGTAGAGGTTCTTGTTCATGATTGATATACTTAAAATTTTCCCATATGTAATACTTTTATTTGGCTTAAGGTTAGCCAGGCTATCCAGAGTTGTGTTTTTTCTCTTCACATGATTAATTAACTGCTTATGCTATGTGCAGAGGAGCCAGATGACTTTTATGATTTTACACCTGAGGATTATTATCAAATCATGTCTGAAAAAATTGGAGGTAATATTGACAGTGTTAGATTAAATGATTTGCATTTGGAACTGAGTTCTGTGTGGTGGTAGTTATATTTTGAGGTTTTAGTTCTCACTATCCATGGAAAACTATGCATTATTATGTTGTCCAAGCCCCTTACACCATGACCTGGAACATTTCAAGTAAAGTTCAGCTGAGCACTCTTCATTCCATGGAAAACATTTCAAGTATTATACTATATAATACTTTTGAACTTTTTCTTTAATATTGTTATACTGAAATCCTGAACAGCACAATCACAAGTTCTCAAGACCCGTAAAATACGGGAGGCGGAAGCAGCAGTCCGTAGAGCAAGAATAACCAAGGTACATAATCTAACTGGATTTGTCCTCCGTTCAAGATTCTTACTTAGATGACATGGGATTCAGCTTATCTTTCTCCTTTGCTACTTTAATTAAAGATGCTTGGCCATTTGTCTCTATGAGTGAATGGGGGAAGGAGGGAGGGAGGATTTTATGTTGCTAGTAATTAATGCCCTTTTTAATCTTTTGTAATGATCATTTTGTCATCATTTAGATTCTCTCCCATTCTTGTTTTTATATATTGTTTTGTGTTGGGGAGAGAGAGAGAGAGAGAGAGAGTCAAGTATATTGTTTTTGTTTCTTCCGCTGACATGGAATAGAAATTCAGTCAAGTTCCTTTGGAGTTGAAGTTGACATCAATTGGAAGAGGAGCTAAGAAGCTATTGTTGAGTTAATGCATGAATCCTGTAATGGAGAGTAAATGTCTAGTTCTAATCTATGTACAGACTGTGTGGCTGGCTAGATTGTTTGGCTGGAGGAGTCTTGAATGGGCTCATATTCCACCTAAATCGTGGCTAGGAAGGAATAGCAAAAAATTATGCAATTATCTTAGCTAAATTAATTGTTTAGTGATAGATAAAATCTTAAGGTCCCTGACTGGTTTGATCGGAAACTTTTCTTATGAAAGAGGAGATGACATGCTAGTTAATTTCTCTGAAATAAAAATGGCATGTGCAACCTCTGTCCCTCTTACTGTCTCCTTTGTCAGTTTTTTGATATTTCTGTTTTCTTTCTTGCTGCGCATCTCCTTCTCCTCTCTCTCTCTCTCTCTCTCTCTCTCTATTGCTCTAGCAGTCGGGCTACTGTTTCCTTTTTAAAAGCAATATCAATTTAAGTGCTTATTTTTTATGGTATTTGTAGTTTTTCTGAAGGAGTTATAGCATGAGTTAACGAATTAAATAAAATGCTAAAAATAAGAGAGGAGTCGATATAGCATATTTTTGCAAGAGTTTTTAAGAAGCAGGTCTCATTGGTTGTGTACTAGCCCTTTTCCCCTGTTAGTATCTATTGTTGTGTTCCTTTCTTTGGAACGTGGTCTCTGATTTCCGATTTCTATTTATTTTTTCTTCTCTAAATTTTCATGCAGGCTGTTATCAGGGTTCGCTTCCCTGATAACTATGTTCTAGAGGTAAAGTTTCAACCAGCAGAGAAAATTCAAAGTCTGATGGATCTTTTAACAAAAGTAGTTGCTCGACCGGATCTTCCATTTTATATATGTAAGTAATGAGCCTGTATCTGTATCTTTAAAAGCACAACATAGCATCAGTAAAATGTAATCCACAGATAGTTATATCAACAAAATTATCTTCTGTGGTAGTTTGCTGTAATTTGTCTAAATGCAAGTATTCCAAGTGGCTAATCTTAAAAGACATTAGATTTTTAAAGTAAAACATTTGATTATATACTCTAGTGAGGTAATTGACAAATGTGCATGGATATGATATGTCAAAGTTTGTGCCATTGATCTTATTCAAGGATGTAAGATAGCCTGTTTGAACTTTAGTATATCCTCTACATACATCACTAGGCATTCTTGCATGTTTGATGGTTGACCACTTGTATAAGCATCATTCTTTTGGTCTCTTGTTCTCTGACCATTCCTATTGACTTCAGCATCAGATGTTGCTTGGGGCTTTCCTACTACCTGTTTGACAACTTTCCTGTTTCTCATAGTGATGTGAGTGCCTGTCTAACAACATTCCCTGAATTTTATGCACATGGATGTTGGTCTTGTGTTAGTGTCTGCTACATATGTTGTGGTGCATAATGCGCTCATAAGTTAGAGGCATGCCATAGAGGATTGTACTCCATATATTGATTGTGAGTAAATGTGTTCCAATCCAACCATTGCATGGTAATTCCTGACAAGCATATAAGGTTGGATAAAACATTAGATGCGATACTTGATATTCTAAATAATATGCTCTAAAGCTGTTACCTGCAGCTTCTTCAACACAAAAAAAATGTTTTTTATCCTCTTTTTAATATTAGTTGAAATTATCTTCAGTTGTATAAGCTAAGACTAAGACATATCAAGGTGATACTAGACAAAACACGAGAATTTTGAAAATGTTGTATAATTACAATGCACATAATTCCCCATCATGAAAGTGTGCCTGTTTTTGCCCTTCTTTTATCTTTCATAATCTTCAGAAACATCTTCCATTCTACAGTTGAAAACTCTTCTCTATATGAATTTGACTTGATTATTTGCTTTTATTCTTGACTTTAGTCATGTTTTTCAGTATACATGCATTTCCTTTTTAAATCAGATTGCTTTATCTGATGATTTGCAAGGTTGAAATATGTCATCTTGTATCTATGTTGGGCTTGCATACCATGTGGATACATGGTGAATTCAATTTTTGGCCAGTGCCTGTGGCACAAAAGGAGCATGCCAATTGCTATCACCTGGTACATATAATGCCAAAAGGGTACTAGCATGTGTCTGTTCCATGAAATATTATTTTTTGTCTGTAAATATTCTTCTAAGGCTGTTTAGTTGGCACAAGCATGGTTTTTGCTAAACTGAATACTTGATTTCCCTAAAAAATAAGTTGCTATATGTATGATAATAATACATTTTGTGGCCTTAATAATAACATGAGCTTTAAAATTAATTAATACACCCTTCAGACAGCTGTGGTAATCATTTTCTTTAATTGGGAGTTCTAAACCCATCATCCAATTTTTTTCTTAAGTTATCTATGATTTCCTCTATGGAAAATGAGGTATATATCATGCATTTTGTTATCATTCTTAGAAATGTTACCATTTAATTTTTCGTAAAGGTGGTGTAAAATAAGAGTTTTTATTTGTAACATTAAGAGGTTAATGAAACTAATGTCATGCATGTGAATAATTCTCTAACAAATTTTGTTTCAGATACCACTCCTCCAAAGGAGCGAATCAAAGACACATCAAAGGACTTCTACTCGGCTGGTTTTGCTCCTGGGGCTATCGTTTACTTTTCTTATGATTGGCCAAAAGGTTTATTTACTTACATTATATGCTAGGTTGATTTGGTGATTCATCAATTATTGCAATATTTTGAGAAGAGAGCTACTAACTGGTAGTTGTTTTACTATGTACAATCCAATGGTTGAGTAAAACTAGGATATGTTTCTTGATAGTGGCACTGCCTGGTGACTTTCTGTGTGTTACACAGTGTGCTTTTTCTGTCTACAAAATCTAAATAGTTACTGCTGATTTTATCTCTTCTGCCATTTGGATGAGACCTTTTCTCAATTTGTTTATTGCTACTTATAATATAAAATCTAAAGTGTTGCACATTTGTTTCTGAAAAGATGCGCAGCATTATCAAAACTTCATATCAGAATAAACTGAACCTTTTGAAATATATAGTCATTGTCTTTGGGTTTTTGTTTTGTAAATTAACTGTTATGTTTCTAAAAAGACAATTTTAAGATGGGCCTGCAATGGAGAAGTTGTATGATTGTAAGAAATTAGCCTATTTAATGAGTACTCAAATAACTTGTCTTGGTTGGACAAGATTTTCTTACATAACTGGAACTCCGAAGTGCTGATTTATTTTCTAAAATTTTTCAGGTTAAATTGCAAATCTCATTGTTATGTTAAATATCTGTCTTATTTGACATTATTGTCCACATTGAATTTCATAATTTCACTAGGTTGATAATGAGCCACAAATTCATATACTAAAGAAATTTGTTGCTTGGGACATTCCTTTATGATCTCCTTTTTACTACGTTATTAAGTACGCCACCATGACTTCTGTTACTGGCACAGAATTATAGGACAGAAAATTTCCACTTTTTCCTAGTTGCCTGTATAGAACATGCTTGACATATTTAAATTTAAATTTTCTAGTGCACTAATGTAGTTCAACGATCTGCAAAGCCTGTTTCTGTGAAACTTTTACGATGTGTTTTGATATTATGGTGGGGCTTGTTGATGTTAAGAAGTAGTATCTTGGATTTTGGTTGCAGATTCAGAGTATGATAATGCAGTTGCAAAGGAGGGGCCATATCTTCGTGATGATATTCTATCCTTGAATGGATTGGATTTGAGTGCCGAACAAGTGGACGATCCTGTTCATCCTGAACAAGAGCCAAAACCAAAACCACCGGAGGTTGCATCTCCTCTTCCTGATCCTAAGCCAGCTGCAAAGAAGCCAACCAAGCCTAAATGGCTTAAACTGTGAAATGTCTCTATAGGTAATTTTCTGCCTTCATTTTCTTGTTTGTTAAACAAACCAAAATCTGCACGAATGAGACTTCAGGTGTTGTGATTTCTCTTCAAGAAAAAGATCCATTATTGAAATCCGCACAAATTGAATTCTATGGCTCCAGTGTTTTTTTTGGTTCTCTTGTTTGTTCATTTGCATTCCGATGGCAAAATTATAACTACAATTGCCAACTAGGTGCTGGCCTGAAAAAGAATGTGATTATATTTTCTTGGGATATTAGGTACTGGCGGCATGAAAACTCCAGGGCGCTTTGTCATGGATTCCCATCTAAGCCTAGCACTTTGGTTCTTTACCGTCAACAATCAGAGGTGGGGAGTAACTTGTAAAGATGATCTTGCACTTTGATAAATCAGTATCTTGTACATTGTTCAAATATAACTACTAACTGTTTCTGGTGAAAATGCTTCTCTTTGGTTCACAGTTCCCTTCCTTTATGGGAAACTCTTATCAAAGCTTTTGCAGGAAAAGCTAATCTTTCAAGAAATGCCCCACTATAAGCGAAAACAGCAAAGGTAAGACCCACGCTCCCCACTGGTATCACTTTTATGTGATTTCTTATTTGCAATGGCAGATGAGACTGTGTGGTGATCAAGATTTAAAGTCGTTGCTTTAGGGTTGAGTTTAATTAAGGGTTTGTCATAGGTGGTTCGGTGGTCAAAAGAACAATAGTAGGTGCAGTCCATAATTCTATATATTATTTTTAGCCGACAAGTTAATTTTATTAAAAATCATAATATTTACACAAATAAAACCTTCGAGTGAGGTTGACATGATCTCATTTGTGAGCGGCATATGCCGTGGAATCTACAGACATCGGTGGTACATGTGTGATAAGACTCGATAACTCGGTCGAGCGAGAGTTTGGTTGGAGTTCGAGTTGGTACCCATATACTTAGTATATTTTATTTTTTTATTTAACCGTTTCAATTATAATTTGAAATAAATCTGAATCCAATTTGAAATCGAACGTGAAACCAACGGGATCTGAAAACACTCGACCTGCCCTAATTACTATCCATAATAAATAAGAAATATATATTTTTTTAACCAACATGATAAACAAGAATAAGAAGGCCCCAAAATTGTGGAAGCCAGCGATGGAGGCTGGCAATGGAAGGCGGTGGAAGCGGAGAAGTTTGCAATATCTACGTAGCCAACTTGTATTTTGCTAGCATATCCCACTGAAATGTTGATTCCTTCAAACTTTCAAGTTTGTATGCATACTGAGCCAGAACGGTGTTGGGGAAGGCAGCCCATGGTGAAAACGAAAACGGTGGTCTGAAGTTGCAGCACGGAAATTGATGACTACGGCCTCATTCCATTGATCGGAGACGTGCTGCCATTATTTGCACTATTGCTTGTTCTTTCTTGTGCTTGTTGTGAACATGGGGCACCTCCTATTTATCTGAACAATACAGGCGTTGGTAACGGTAAGTGTTTCCTCTCCCAATTAACGATCCAAAGCAACACAATAATTAATAAAACCCAGAGGAGTAAGCGAAGTGGCTGTACTTCAAAGAGCTACGTCTCGTTTGTACTCTCTTGATGGACGAAATCCAACGATCCATGCGCTGCCAACTCATCGCGTAAAACTCCCCGTAATATTTTCTGCATTTTTTTTCTCCTCCTTTTCTTTTCAACATATCGCGCCGCTACTTCGAAACCGGCGGTTGGATGGGGGGAGAGAGAGAGACGGCGACCGAAGAGGGAGAGCTTACCTGCGAGCATAAAAAGGAGAGAGATCCCCAATGTCTCCGTCGCCATCAGCAAGATCGCTCGCCGCTTGATAGTTACGGTTTCGCTCTCTGCTCTCTGCTCTCTTTCTTCGAGCGATTTCTACTGCTAATTCTTGTTCTTTCTTTGTATGCCATGGACTTGGTCTTGTCCGAAATTATCGAATCTATTCCTTCTCTCCTCCTATCGTATTCTCGGCCTTGGTCGATCGCATAGGTTGGAGAAGTAGACGGGCGTAAGTGGGTGGCGATTAAAATTCTTTTGGTAGAAATACTCTTTCTTGACTACAGATGCAATCAAAATGCTTTACAGAGGTCAAGTGGTTTGCGTGCTATGTTGGCTCAGTGGCTTTGTAATGCTTGGTTCATGCAGCACATATGCATGCTAAATAGATTCTATATGCTATGCAGCGCACTAAATGGCATCGCAGTATAACAGCATAGGGTTCTTACCGGTGATGACACACGGTGATTATTGATTATCATTCAGACACCCTCACATGGTTCATATATCTAAGAGTCAAGGTTCTGCCCCTCGATTCAACAAAGTTCCTCCGGTTTCATGCATCTTTGAGAAAATTGGTTTTAGTATTTTGTTTTATATGTTGTAATAGTGTCATGTCAGTAGATAAATAATCACTAATGCATTCTTCTTTGCATCTCAATTTCTGCCTTTTTGTGGTTAGCCTTTTTCTCCCACAGTCTCTTTAAGAGAGATATTTGTGTGATGAAATCCGATCCATCCTCAATGTGTGAATGATCATTTCTCTATCTAATTATGCAGTTTTTATCTACAAAGGATAAGATCGTCATACTGTGGTCAGCCATGTCAACTGTATCGGATGCATTTCTGAGAAATGACTCCTTCAGAAGTAACAGTTTGAGGAGTGAATCTTTTTCAGACGAGAAAGACACGGGTATTGTACAGGAGGTTGGTTGCTTATCCATAATTGTGCTGGGTGCTTCAGGTGATCTTGCCAAGAAGAAAACATTTCCTGCGCTCTTTCACCTTTTTAAACAGGTTCATGTCGCGTATCTGTCCTGGAACTTTGTCATTTATAACTTGATGTGTTAGAGTTCATTATTCAGATTAACTGTGCAGTTTCCTTTGCTGACTAATATGTATAAGGACCTCCTTATAACTATATTTTGTTGGCAGAAATTTACTTAAAAACCACCCTGTTTTGTAATTGCACTAAGATATTTAATGTTCGCTTAATCTTGATCAATGCTTTATGGGCTCATGTCAGAAGTATATTAATGTCTTGATTTTATCAAAATTATGGTTGATGTCTAAGCAAAAGGCTGCTGTTTAGGATGTTAAAAATATGATAGCTTATATTCTTGAATAACATGAGTTTTTTCCTATTTATAATGTGATGCATGAGACAAGGAGAAACTATGAGTCTTCTGTCCTTGATCATTTTTTGGCCGTTGTCAAATAATATATGCACAATATTTTTTCTTTTATGTTTTCTAATTACTGTACTGATGATAATCTGTCCATTTTACCTTTTAATTTGGTTTCTCAGCCAATATATTTTTCTTGTTTATCTTTTTTTTTGTCTATTGCCATGATGGAAAATTCAGTAACAAAAGTGTCGAGACTGAATATGAGGTGGCTACTGGATCCCCATCTACCGTCATTCTGCCATTTCATGAATAATTCTATATTGAAGATAGTTTGAAGATTTTGTTTAGTTATTGATTGGTTTTATTATCCCATGCATGTCTTAGTTGGTGAATTGTCTCTTTATGTTTTTGTTTATCTCTAGACTCATTTTAAATGTGTCTTAAAACTTAGGTTCATGCATCCTATTACACATTTAAAATTACATGTTAAAAAATGTTAGATAATGTCTAATTATTTATGGACCATTTTTTCAACTTTTTTATGTTAATCAATTAATCACGTGAAATTTTTCCTGGGACATGTAAGCATGCTAATTTCACGTTTTTCAGTTATAACATCTGAGCTTTCTTTTCTTTGTGATATATGGTTTATATAATTGACATTTCTTTTGAGTAAACAAATTATATAATAGATGTAATTACTCCACTAAAGTTCTTATATTAACTGAGACATAAATAGGGATTCTTACAAGAGAATGATGTGCACATTTTTGGTTATGCCCGGTCAAAGCTATCAGATGAGGATTTAAGAGAACGCATATGTGGGTAAGATTTTGTTTTTGCCACAAAGCTTCTTGATTGCTAATGAGCTTCTTCAATAATATTAGCCTTATCTACTTTGTGAATTGTGAAATATCATCTTGGGCATTCTATTTTGCATTAATTATGGTCTGAGATTTTCATTGTGCATCAGAGATTTTTTATGTAATATATATAATTTTGGATATTGAAACAAGTTGCTAACTCATGTATGAAAGGAAAAGAAAAGTTCCCAGAGAATATTGTTCATCATGACAAAGGGTTGAATCTTTTACTTGAATGATCTTTAATTTCTTTTAGCAGGATGAAGGATCAAATATGTCAGAGATTTCTAGTATGACAAACTGGAAATGTTATCTCCTGGTATAGGCTAATTATGTTATCTGGCTGATCCAGCTGTCATCACCTGATATATCTTGGTAGTTCACTCCCCAGGATTTGTTGTATTCTGCAACTATGATAAAGTTGGAAGGTTGATAGGATTTGATGGGGCTAATTGTGGTTACCATTTTTGTTTGGGTTCTAGTGAGGTCTACTTTCTTTGTGAGTGCTTCCACCCTCATCCTCTTTTCCTTAAAGAAGAAGATAAAAAATAGTTCAATTATCAATGCCAAAAAGGATCTTAACATGGCACGGCACAAACAATCTGAAGCCACATGAATTAAAATTGGAGAAGTATGTTGTGTGATAAATCCAGGTACTGATTTTTTAAGGCAAAGTTTTGGAACATGAAAATGAAAGCATTAACTTGAAAGGTTGAAAAAATAAAAGTAAAAAATCTTTTCTAAGTGGTGGGTTCAGAAGTGGCCAATTAAAATGTTAAAATTTTGGGATGTGTACATAAACCCACATACTAGGCCAACATTTTGTGCATACACAATCAATTATGTGAGTGAATGTACCGTGAATATCATTGAAAAGGTTGTGCTGCCCACTAGAAAACAGATTTTACTTGTAGTTGCCTATTCATAGCATCAATCATGTTCCGATATCCTATAGCGGCGAGTGCAGTGACATAATTCTCCATTATGGCTGGAATGGCTTCTTCATTTCCACTTGTGGGAGTATTTCAGAAGTGAAAATGGCCTATAGAGTGTATATTAAATGCAGTAGGTTATTGCCACTTGCATGTTCATTGCTATAGTGAATGATCGTATTCTTTTTAGCTTATTGGAAAGTGTTTTAACTTCATTTTACTGGAAATGTTCCATTATCCACTTGCTCTATATTGTTCAATGACTTTCAGTTCTCTCCTCATCCACCACTTTTGCTGCTGAAATCAGTGAGCTTATGCTCAGCCCCTTTTTCTTAAAGAATAAAACAAAATATTGTTTATTGTCATGGGCAAAAAAATCTTTACATGGCACGACAGGAATAATCTGAAGCCACATTAACAACACTCAATTTTCTTCATTACATATTTTACCCTTTGGGAGTTCATGTTTGCAAAGTTCATAAGACTCAAAGGATATATAAACATAGGAAACTTTGCAGCTTGATAAATGCAAGCACGAGAGTTTCGATTCCATTTATGCAAAAAATTGAGTGCCACAAAAATCCATCAATGAGATATGATGGAACTTAGTTTGACTGGTGATATTGCAGCTGACAAAGCTCAATGGTGGGAAAAGATTTATACAGCTAAAATGGTTGGAACCCCAGACATTGTAATTATTGTTGTTGAATTAGAAATCCGCATATGTAAACTTCTATACTTTAACAACTTGTGATGGTATATTGATGTTTGTTATATGTGAAAACATATTATGAATCAGCAAGTGAACTAAGATGGGGTTAAATTAGATAAACTGATTAAGCATTAATGGTGCTAGGAAAGGTATTGGAAGGTCTAAGAAAAGTTTATTAGAAAAAAATAAAAAAGATATGTGAGAGCGTTTATTGAACTAGTGATATTGCCCTCAACAAAGCAAAATGGCAGGAAAAAAAGACTAATATAGCTGAACAAATAGTTGGGACCTTATAATTTGTTGTCATAGTAGCAAGTGAATCATGATTTTTCACTATTGATGATGAAAAAGCTAGTCTACAGGATTGATGAAGATGTATAGTGCTTTCTATGGTTAAAGTGAGGCTGCTCAAGAGGGTCGACTCCAAGCACAGCATAGGGATGTGTTGCATGTTTTAACTGATTACATTCAAGTCTTCGAATAAGCCTCAGACAAAAAAATGGTAGTACTCCGTATAAACAGACTTCTGCTTCCTTTTTGCAAAGACTTTTCTGTTCAATGTTCAGTTAGGGAAAAATGAGCAGTGGAAGAAAATTAAGCACTTGCAGTATTACAGTGAAGATTCTAACATTAATTTCTTTCTACAAGGAAGTTTATAATAGAAATTAAATTTTGTTAATGCTGGTCAGATACCTTGGGCAAGCTGCTTCAACTGAGCCAACAGAGGTTCTATCAAGGTTCTTGCAATTGGTAGTTTGACTCTATCTCTTCGATCTATCTTATTCTCTGAACTTTTGAGTACAGGAAATGTAAAATTTTATTGTTACTTTGCAGATTCAATATGTTAGTGGTTCATATGACAGTGAGGGTGGTTTTCAACTATTAAATAAGCAAATTTCTGAGCATGAGATATCAAAACGAAGTGAGCCAGGAACCTCCCGCAGGCTATTTTACCTGGCACTTCCTCCATCAGTTTACCCTTCTGTCTGCAAAATGATAAGAAGATACTGCATGAACCAATGTAAGCTTCCCATAAATTTGATAATTTGATAAACAGGTTTGCCAATATAAAATGGTGATAAGATGCACTTCTTGTAGAATTTAGCATCTGTATTTACCATCTGAATTTGAATATTTCATGCTTACTATTATGCAGATTAATGATTGATATAATTTTAGGCTATTTTACCTGGCACTTCCTCCATCTGTTAACCCTTCTGTCTGCAAAATGATAAGAAGATACTGCATGAACCAATTGTAAGCTTCCCATAAATTTGATAATTTGATAAACAGGTTTGCCAATATAAAATGGTGATAAGATGCACTTTTCGTAGAATTTAGCATCTGTTTTACCATCTGAATTCGAATATTTCATGCTTACTATTATGTAGATTAATGATTGATATATTTTTTTCTTCTTTCTTATTATTGCCACTGAAATGGATAAATAGTAATTGAAGAAACCATTGGGATCATCAGGTTTGTTGATGACAAGTTTGACTTACTGCTTGTTATAAGCATTCATTTGGATAAAAGTATGCTTCACCGGTAAAATCAATTTCTATATGAGAACATGCCGTACACCAATGGGTATATTTGTGGACGTTTATGTTTGCCATGTCATTTGAATTTGTAAACTTTATTTATATTATCGATGACAGGTCTTTTAATTTATTCTTTCCTAGATACTTTACTATGGTTAGTAGGTTAGCAAAAAGTTTTTAGAGTCAATTTAGCACATATGTGAAGAATTTTTTTTTTTCTTTTGATGATTTTATAAACAATTATTTCTTTCTCTGCCACCTTAGAGAGAGTGTGCGTTTGTGTTTAACTATTCATATTATTTCCATTTTATGTCTGTTCCCCTTTCTTCTTACTACACTTAGTTCACAATCTTAACATAATAAGTGGGTAATTTTCTGCCTTTGCTTTAAAAAAACCATCACTGTATATTAGGATTGAAGAGCGAACCACTGTATAGGTTTTAGCAAAGGTCTGGAGAGTTCTATGAAGCTTCATTAATTCTTGTCTCACTACACTTAGAATGGTCATGGTCACTCTGAGAACAATTAAATCTTGGTTCTGATAAGTGTTACTAGATGTTTTTAGGCTTTTAGCTTACACATTGTGTAGCACAAAATCTTAATAAAGAAAATATGATTCAGAAACTGTTTTCAGATAAGTTTGATCTTATCAGAGGTTTTGTCTTCTTTTTGCACACTCGGAATTGCAATAACATTGATAATTTACAGCTTAGTTTTTATCCTATGAATGATATATTTTTAAAAAACATGGGTAAATTCATGAGCGACAAGGATCTATCATGCATACTTACTGTTACAAGAATCACTGTACCACTCTGTCCTTTGCATTTAAAACATATAATTCTCTTTCAAATTTGCCTTCTGGTGCACTATCTAAACTTAGATTCTTACCTCCTTTTCCATTTTTCTTGTAGATACGAAGTTAAATCTTATCACATCACTTTGGAGGTTGCACTGTTGATGCTTACATTCACAAATTGAAGTTAGCATTTTTGGCAGCCTAGATTTGTAGATTCTGTATGATCTTATGTTATCGTTTCATGTTTCATTTTTAAGAAAACTTCTTGTTATACAAAAATATTCATCCTTTGCTATGTGATTATGTCCAAAGTTATTTCTTGCTGTCATTATAATGTCTCATATTCTTTTATCTGATATGAAGCTACACCTTTCCTCGTTCTTTAAACTGATACTTCTCAGCTGATCTTGGTGGGTGGACACGCATTGTGGTTGAGAAACCTTTTGGAAAGGACTTGAAAACTGCAGAAGATTTAAGTTCTCAGCTTGGAGAACTATTTGATGAAAAAGAGCTTTACAGAATTGATCACTACTTGGGAAAGGAGTTGGTTCAGAACTTGGTAATAATGTGTAACTGGAACTTATATTTACTTTCGAAAGGAAAACTGAAGGGAAGACACCCCACAATCTTCTTTGAAATTTCTATTTTCATTTAATTATCTTCCTATCTCTGTTTGAATTTACAGCTGGTACTACGTTTTGCAAACCGCCTCTTTTTGCCCCTTTGGAATCGAGATAACATTGACAATATACAGGTAATTTTTGTATTACAGTAGAAACATGGTTAAATCCATGATCCATGAGGATAACATAGAATTCTGTCATGCATAGTATTGCAAACAGGTACCTTTGTTCTGAGCTTTTCATCAGGAGCATTGCAGACACCAAATATTTAATTTTCAGTAATTCAGTCCGAAACCTTTACGTGCCTGGTCGGACCAGTATGGGTCTGGTACTTATCACCATACTGACACATGGTATGCTGGTGTATTGGTTGGCGAGGATCAAACAGGAAGAGGGTTAGGGGAGAGGAGGAGGAGGAGGATGGGGGAAGAGGAGGGTCATGAAATTAAATTAAAAAAAAACAGTTCGAAACTGGATCAGGCAAAATTATTTGATCCAGTTGTCGGATCCTGATTGGATCAATGCTGATAAATACTGATCAATACACAGAAATCCAACTGGTTTTTTGAAATCACTATTTCTCATTTTGCCTTTTGATGTGATCATTTGGAGGGTGAGCCATTAGTACCATGATTTAGTTGTTTTTATACAATGACTATTTATTTTCTTTTCTTATCCTATCTTTTCTAAAAGCTCCACGACCATTATTTCAACTTCTTCAACTCAGTGGCACTAGCTTTTGGATGTGTTGTTTTCTAAATCCTTACTGTTTAAATCACTTTTGTATTTTGGTTAAGTGCATATCAAAGGCACTTCATGTACTCGATATTATTTTATGGTGACGCAGTCATTGTATTTCATGAGTTTGAGAGGTGTTGCCATTGTTCCTGCTTCTACCATAATGGTTTAACTTTTTGATGTCACATAAAAAAAATATTTTTTAATGAAAAATATGTCAAAACTGGT